TGTTTTGGGATTGCACCCAAGGCGCCTATAACTATTGGTACCATCTTTGCTTTCTTTTGCCACAGTCGTTCTACTTCTGTTTGCAGGTTTTTATATTTTGTGATTTTCTCCAGTTCTTTCTCTTCCATTCTGCTGCCTCCAGGTATTGCAGTGTCCACTATACAGACTTTTTTGTCTTTCTTATCAACACTTGTTAAGTCTGGGGTGTTGTGTGGCAGGTGCTTGTCTGTTTGAATTCTGAAGTCCCAGAAGCTTCTTCATTTTCTATTACTAGTACTAGTCAGCCAGATGGGTTGGTCTATCAATGTGGTGAATAAATATATAATGTAAAGCCATTAAATCTCATTCTGTCTTCTGGGGCAGAAAACAAACCCTGTCCCTTGTCTATGTAACACCCTCCTCAATTATTTTGAAGGTTCCTGTCTTTAAACATGGGACTGGCCCAGTAGAGTTTTAGGAGAACAGAGCAGGAGAGTCTCTGTTCAGTTCTCCCAATTCTTAGCCTGCAATTGTGGTTGGCTAGCATTATGGTGTTTGAAGCCAGACCCATCTGCAGGGTATCAAGTTGGAGGTCTAGCCAACAGACATGCTGGCTAGGAACTGTGGCCTTTGAAGGCCAACCTCTCTGAGGACACCAGGCTGAGAAAGGTCAATCTAAGGGCTACCATTCCCCCACCATCCACTTATTACCTAAGAATACACTTTAGAATCCAGAGCAGGACTCCAGTGTTCCTCAGAATTCCCTAAAGTCATGGAAGGAAAAAGTTCAGAGACGGTTTGCCCACTACTACTGAATCAAGTCCACTTTCCCATCCACCATCCTAGACTCACATTCTTTGCTTCATCCCTGGATTTGGTTGTCCCACAGGGAAGAGCGCTCTCCACTGGGCTGCAGCAGTCAACAACATTCCAGCCACCCTCGTTCTGCTCAGAAATGGAGCTGACAAGGACATTCTGGACAACCAGGTAATGTGCGTTTGCTCCTTCTGGTGGATCCATCTCTAGAAGGCTACCAACTGGTGAAGATTCCAAATGAACTCCTCAAATGCTCATGGGGGTAGAAGCTGTTTTCTCAATCTGGAGGAAGTTTTTAAAACATTAGAGTACGAAGGAAGCTGCCTTGCCCCAGAGTGTACTTCTTAACTTTTTTCACACCTACACCATCCTAGCTGGGAATGATGGAAGTTGTAGCCCCACATATCTGGATTGCCACAAAGTGGAGATGACAGGCTTAGCACTAGTAGCAAGTGAACAGGGTTTGAGGCAGAGTTGGATCTGTTCCCTTCTCCAGTACTCAGGGATGGGGAGGTGGTTGGTTGTGGAATTTCCAGCCACAGGCCATGTTGTCTGGGGCTTTGGGAAGGTGTAGTTCAGCAGTAGCTGAAGGACTACAAGTTCCCTGCCCTTGGGCTAACTGGGATGGCGTGCTCTGCTTGACGGTACAGTCCTTTCCTGCAGACGAACAAATTCAAAGTTTGGCTGTTTAGAACTTTTAGCACAAATGTCGTGCAATAAAATTGCTTAAGCCCAAGTGCATCATAGAATGGAGGTGAGACTACAGGAATTCATTTGTCCCCAGCCTGATAGCTGCCAGTGGCACTCAAATTCAACACGCACAATCCTTACCTAGCCTGGCACCATGCCAACGTGAACACGATGGCAGTGAAAACCATAATGGAGTGAGCGGCCTTTATGCTGGGCAAAACGGGGCAGTTTGATGAAACCTGAGCACGGGGACAGGTGCATCTCTACGAACCAGTTGCTGGAGACAAATAACAGGGGTGGGGTTTATCTCTAGATCGTTGAGGTTAGGCTTGGCAGACAACAAGGCATCTGACAGTAATATTTCCCACAGAGGCGACTTCAGATTTTTTTTCCAAGTCTCTACCAGTCGGAGAACAAGGCCAGTGGACCATCTGAGAACAGAACTGGTCCCAGATCATGCAGGCCTGTCTTACCTGTCCCATTTCACTCTGTCTGCAGGCACAGACCCCGCTGTTCCTGGCTGCCCGGGAGGGAAGCTACCAAGTGGTGTGTCTTCTTCTGCAACATGGCGCCAAGCGGAACCTCCGAGATCATATGGGTCGTCTCCCCAAAGATGTGGCACTGGAGCGCTTGCACCACGACATCCTCTCCCTCTTGGACAGACCCTGCCCCTCTCATGGGACTGGTCAGCTTTCACCACACAGGCCCCGCCCACAGCCTTCATTCAAATTGCACAGATGGCCACGCCCACCCAACCATTCCCAGCTAACTCCTGTTCCAGAGAACGAGGGATCTTTCAAGGAGGCTATCCCGTCAGAAGAGGCCATGGGGCAGGCAGTGGAGTGACTCCTCGCCCTCTATGTGAGGACACTGTGGGTCAGCGATGACTGCCTTGGCCAAAGAAGTAGCTTTCCCCAGTGAAGTGTGCAGGGTGGAATACCCAGGGGCAATGTGGAGAGATGAAGATGTTCCAGCAGTGACATCAAGTACTCCAGATGTTTCTGCTGTGACATGTGGGGATGTGATACAACTTGACTTGGATCCTAAGGTCATCTTATAACATCTGAAGCATATAGAGGGCAGTTCATCACACTTTGCTAGACAATCTTCCCCAGAACATCTTCCAGATGTGTTGGACTTCAACTGTCAGAATATGGCTGGTGATCCTGGCAGCAAGGTCCCAGCCCATCTGGCAAGCAGCAGAATGGGAAAGGTCAGTATATAGCCACTGAGTTGGAAGTCTCTTCAAACTCAGAGGGACTTAAGATACAGGCTAAGTCTTCAGAGTTGGCCTCTTTTCCAGAGGTGCAGTGAAGGATTGCATAACCTTCCAATTTAGGCTGCTGAGAATTCTGGAAGTTGAAGTCGAACATATATGGAGGTTCTCCAGCTAGAAAAAGCAGATGTAGGATGGAAATGGATAATCACAAGCTAGAACGTTCAATCAAACCTTCCATCCCATTTTTCTGATTTGTAATTCCATCGTGTATTGATGCAACTCAGCTCACCTTCCACTGAGAATGTGTCAGGTAGAGTTGTCTAAAGATTGGAATATTGTTACCAATTATACTCATTGTGCAAAAGCCTAGAGTCACAAAGTAAAGCTAAAACTCCCTCAAACTGAATTTGGTTCCTGGTGATTACATTTTCCTCAGGTGGAAGCAGTTTGTGGAAAGGTGAAAGAAGGTATGTGACTGGGAGAAGTGAAGAAATATTCCCTTCTGTTGCCAGAATGTATTTAAGTCCTTATACAGTATACCTTTATACCTGTCTCCAGAATAAGGATACTTGGTGAAAATATCAGGAGTGTCCATGGGGTGGGTCAAAAAAGTCAAGATGGCAGTTGCGATCAAAGTCCAATCCCTTCTTCATATGCCACCATCTTGACTTTTTAGACACACGAACATGTCCCATGTTCAACTCCCAGTGAAAACCCCTGGGAGGTCTCAGTGCTATCGGTCCACAAACATGGAAAACACAGAATCTTTCCTCCCTGGGGGGAATTTTCTGACGAGAGCCAGAAGGTGGAAAAAGCATCACGAGAACAGCCCCCAAGTTGGTTGTTCTAGACATAAGACAATGCCTGTCCCATCCCTATTCTAGTCCTCAGATGAGACCTGGTTTTATCCTGTAATAAAAGCTACATCTGGAAACACCTTACAACTCATTCCCTGAAAAGAAGAACCCTCTGCATTTGGGACCTTCTCAAGAACGTGCTCTCCTAGCGTTCCCTCTAAGCCAGGGAAGTAGATGTGCAGATCATGATGTCTTTTGAGCAGCTGGACAACCCTTGGCTGGAGGCGGAGGGGGTAGTTATTAAAAGTGCATACCATAATTTACAAGTCATACTGCACCTCTATCCTCAGTCACCATGCATGGCCAATGGACCATCTGCGCTGCAGGCTTCCAGAGTCCTTAGGGTCAACTAATTCAATTAGCCCTGGTCTCTTAAAACTTCTTGCAGCTTTAAATTTCTTAATATCATCGTGATTGTACTATATGTTTTGACATCTTGGTGGGCTCAAAGTTAAAATGTTTAAGTCACACACTACTGATCTGTAGCAGCTTACACTCCTCCCCTCCTCCTCCACAGCTTTCCCCTTTGCTTCAATTCCTCTTTCACCCTGCTTGGTTCCTCCTTCAGCCTGGAAGATCTGTGGGCTTCAGCTTAGCTCCTGGGTGAGAAATATTTCTCTCCCCTCACCTTTCTCCTTGTGTTGGTTACTCCTTTGCAAAAACACACTTAGTTAGTGCATAACAAAAGCAACTGAGATGTCATATGTCAGTGTGGAGGGATTGGGGGGATTGTGGGAGGGAACATTTACATCCACCGGTGGGATCAGAAGGCTCAGCTTGTTGATAGCAGCATATACACTCGTAGACTTGGGGTATGTTAAAAAACAAAAAACCTTACAGATTTATTGTGGCAGGGGTCAATGCCACAATAAACCCCACTAGCTGTTGAAAACGCTGCAGGCCTTTGTTGAAAGAGAAGTGAGAGGCAGTGACTCTCTCCTCATTTACAAAAGGCGGGTCAAACTAAGAAGAATATAAAAAGTAAAGGGGAAAAAAAGTAAAAGGTGCAGAGAAAGAAAAAAGAATAAAAAGAAAAAAATAAGAAAAAAATGTATAAAGCAATGAGTCCCCTCTCCCTCCAGATAAGTATAAACAACTTCTGTAACTTACAAGGTAACTTAACACCGTCTGTAATGTTTCAATAAAAAAGGTCTCTTCTTCCCACATCTCATCTCTTACCAACAAACAAATTGTAAAAACTCATCCTTGTCCTAATCAGCAATTTTATTATTCTTTCTTCTGTTTCTCTGCACCTTTCACTTTTTCTTCTTTACGTTTTATATTCTTCTTAGTTTGCATAAGTCTTTTATCTTTGCATTTGTAAACTTTAATAAAATTTATTATAAAAAAATTTACAAAAGGCAGGCCAACCAGCCTTTTCCCATTATAAATAGTCCTCTTTTCCCTTGGCATCTCGCAGCTGCCATTCTAGGTTGACCTTGAGGTGCCAAAAGGGTGATGCGAAAAATAACAACATTGTCCTGAGTGGCAAGTTTTGGGATGTTTCCATGTTTCTCCCCGAAGCAGAAACCTCCCTTCTTCCTTCACAAGTCACATCGGGCCTCGGGAATGGAGGGAGACACCTGGTCACACCAACCACCAGAAGCGTACGTAGAGCAGGAACATCACGAAAATGAGGCTGGTGGCCGCAGCCTTGGCATAAGCAGAGCGGCTATTGAGGACCTTGGCATCGTGGCGGTATTTCTTGGAGAGGGTTGACAAGTTGCTGGCTTTCGAGTCCAGAGCTGAAGGAGGAGAGAAGATCAAGAAAACACAGTTGCCTCTGTTTGTCCTCCTGTTCAACCTTGCCAGGAAAAGTTGCTGGTGGTTCCCCACTTTCGGGGGATGGAGGGGGGCCAAGGCTCAGAAGTGCTGCTGTTCAGGAGCAGCGCCAGCTCCCTGGAATGGCCTCCCCAGGGAAGTTAGATGGTTTTTTTTTAATAGTAATCTTATTAAAAATTGCAAGGAAAAAGATAAAAACTAATACAAACTAAAAAGAAAAAAAATAGTCCAGGAAAGAAAAAAATAGAAAAATAGAAAAGAAAGAAAAAATAAGAATATAGTAAAGAAAAAAAGGAATATATAAAGAAATGACTTCCCACCTTCACAAGAACTGTAAACAATTTTAGTAACTTATCACCTTCTCTTTAAAAAATGATGTCTTCTTCCCATATCCC